CACAGTACATAAACCTGTCTGAAGGAAGCGACATTGATGACCCACCCAGCCCTGTCTCCTCTTCTGCTTCTTCCAATTAATATAGTCTCCATGTATCCTGTAAACAGAAAATTATGGGGGCCCTGTGTGCATTCAGCTGACTACATTTAAGGTAAGTGCTCAGTCACACTGTATCCATTCCTCATTATTTATTACTTTTACTGTACTGTATCCATTCCTCATTATTTTTTACGTTTAGTGTACTGTATTTCATTGTAGATTTTTAAAAAAAATTTGAAAAAAAAAAAATGTGAATTTTTATTTTTTTTTATTTTTTATCTATATCGGACTTACGACCTGGATTTGGGTCCCTAACCCCCGTAAAGTAAGAAGTCGGGTTCAGAATATTATATATATATATATGTATATACAAGTAAATCACTGTAGGTGCATCTGATCTAGGTATATGCTGATAACCACAAGGAAAAGAAAACAAAAGAAGTTCCCAAGCTTTAAGTGTAATTCACATCTTCAGCGCTTAGGAACCGTGTTTTCTTCTTTCCTTGTGTGATTTATCAGCATATATATATATATATATATATATATATATATATATATATATATATATATATATATATATATATATATATATATATATATATACAGTATTACCCCGCTTAACGCGCTTTCACTTAACGCGTTTTCGCATATACACGGTGCCTTGCCAAAGCTGAACTTTCACTTAACGCGGATTTTTCCACAGCAACGCGGTGAGTGTCCGGCTCGGATGCTATTTTTAGATTTTGACCACGCGCCACCCGCCCGCCCGCCCTCCTGCCTGCCTGCCTGCCTCTCCCTCCTCCTCCCTCCGCTTGGGCAAGCGGCGCGGTAAGGTTGCGCAGTGTGTGTCTTTGTTGCGTTATCACTGACGTCATATGACGTCTCGGACTGTGATTGGCCATGCAGCCCTACCCCCCTCTGCTGCTAGCTGTAATTGGCTTAAAGTATTATGACGTGACTACTCCGGGGAGGGAGGGAGGGAGGGAGGAGAGACGACGCTTGACCTAGCCGCGGCAGTTTCATCCCTCAAGGCCACGCCGTGTTAACGCGCATCCATTGTTCCGTAAAATGGCTTCCGCTGGACCACCACCCCCAGAGAGAAACCTTTCCTTACCTGGACCCAGCGGCACTAAACCAAAGAAGACACGACGTTCATTAAGCTACGAGCTGAAGTACCAAATTGTTCAAGATTTGGAGAAAGGAAGACGCCAAGTTGATCTCGCGCGCCAGCATGGCGTCAACGAATCTACGATTCGTACGATCAAGAAGGATGCAGCCAAGATAAAGGAGCACATGAAGCTCACAAAGTCTGCAGGTGCTTCAGCTATCAGGTATTGCCAGAACAGGGTGCTGGCAAAAGTGGAAACTTTGCTGGTGAGTTATTTGGTGCGTCAGGCGCGACGCAACATGGCGGTGGACACGCGCTCAGTGCAGGAGTACGCACGTGAGCTATACACAGCAGTGACACGTAAAATGGGAATTGCAGAGCCCAAACCCTTCAATGCTTCCCATGGTTGGCTGCATAGGTTTAAGAGGAGGAACAAGGTCACCAACATCAGCATTGTTGGTGAGGAAGCGAGTGCTGACCGTGCGGCGGCTAGAGATTTTCCTCCGTTTTTACGTGAGATTATGGAGGAAGGACAGTACAGTGACGACCAGGTGTTTAACATGGACGAATCTGGTCTTTTCTGGAAAAAGTTACCTTCCAAGACCTTCGTTGTCCAGTCTGCGAGCAAGGTAAGGGGCCGGAAGATGCAGAAGGAACGCATCACTGTCCTGTTTACCACCAATGCCTCCGGTACCTGTAAACCAAAGTTATCGGTGATTCACAAAGCCCGCAAGCCGCACGCCTACAAGAATATGGACATGAACAAGCTTAATGTCCACTGGCTAACCGCACGTAAGGCGTGGATGTCCTCTTCTCTGTCCCTCTTCTGGTTTGACAACTTTTTTGTTCCTGACGTGCAGAAATTCTGCGAGCAACAGAATGTTCCATTCAACATTTTGTTGCTCCTTGACAACGCACCTGGACACTCGCCCCTACTAATGGATCGTCACCCCAACGTAAAAGTGGTCTTCCTTCCTCCCAACACCACGTCATTAATCCAGCCTATGGACCAGGAGTTAATCTGCAACGTTAAAGCTGCATACTCGGCAAAGAAATTCAAGCTCCTGAACGACTCTACCAACACCAAGGATGAGTTGCGTAAGCTGGGTGACACTGACAGCGAGAGTAAAAGCGACGAGGACAAGGAACAAGAGGCGGCGACTCAAGAAGTTCTCGTCAAACAATTTTGGAAGAAGTTTAACGTCAAACAAGCTGTAGACTTCTTGGTGGAGGCATGGGATCTGCTGTCTACTACTACGATTCGTCACGCATGGAGACATGTGTTGCATGGCATACCAGGTGAGAGGAGGAGTCAATCTGTTACTGGTCAGGTTCAGACTGTTGCAGTAGCAGTGGACCTTGCCAGAGAAGCTGCGCAGACTGTTACAGCTGAAGGCTTCTCCGAGACCACCAACGAAGACATCATGGAGGTGATCAGAGATCCTGAAGTGACTGCCGACGAGATGTTGGAAGAAGAACCCGCCAGTGAAGAGGAGGAAGAAGGTGCGTCATTCTCCGAAGAACCTAGTTTAAGTCATAGTGATATTAAGTGTGTCATAGAGTTAACAGAAAAAATTAAGTCCATCGTTTCCCGCGACACTGATGATGAACGCCATGACGTCTTCCATAACCGACTGGTGCAGGCTATGGAGCCGTACATCAAGGTGTATCACGACAACATCAAAGCCAGCCGTCAGCAAAGCATAACCGAGTTCTTCGCCTGCAACCCACCACAGCCAGCCCAAGGCAGTGATAGTGATAGTGAAGGTGATTTTGAGGGATTTGTCAGGGAAGCCATGACAACTGTAAGTGACAGTGATATTGATTCACCTAGTAATGGTGATTCACCTAGTAATGGTGATTCACCTGAGGGGCAGTAATCTGCCCTCTGCCTCGGAACCAGCCTCCATCCCCATATGCCGACCCATCTCTTCTACTACCGTGAGTGTTCCTTAAAACTTTTCGTTTTTTAACCTATTCTTTATTTTTCCTATGTTAACCTTTATCTTTCCTAACCTAACCTCTTCTATATTACTTGTTTTTCATGCCACCATAAAGTTAAGATAGAATTTTTACTACAACATAGTTATTTGTCGTCAAAAAGTGGAGTTTGGGGGTCGGGCTGGGTTCTATTGGAATTAATCCCATATGTTCTGTTATTCACTTAACGCGGTTTTCACTTAACGCGGGACCCTCTGGGTTCAATTGACCGCTTTAAGTGGGGTACAATCATATATATATATATATATATATATATATATATATATATATATATATATATATATATATATATATATATATATATATATATATATATATATATATATATATATATATATATATATATATATATATATATATATATATATATATATATATATATATATATATATATATATATATATATATCTTGATAAAATCACATGGGAAAATGGAAACACAGTGGTCCCCCGGTTAACGAACACAATTCGTTCCAGAGGGTCGTTCGTTAACCGAAAATTATGTTAACCGAATCCATTGTTTCAATGGGACATTGGGTAATTGGTTCCAGCTCACAGAAAAGTACATACTGTACAAAGTGAAAAAAATGCAGTAAAGTACACTTACTTTGAGGTGTGTATGTAGAAGGTTCCTGGTTGATGATAATGATGGAAATTAGAAGAAGGGGTGGAGGAGAAGGGAGAAGAGAAGGAAGTGGGGATGGAGGAGAAATCACCTTTCAGGGGACCCATGCTTGATGCCGTCATTTCACCAATAAATTTTTAAGTTCACTAGGTGTAATTCAAGATTATTTTATTTAAATCAACACTGCACTATATATTATCAATATGTTAACTAAATTTCAAAATGACCAATATTTCAATGTAAAAATGCAAAAATATTCAAGACACCAACAAAATCGATGTTCACTCCACTGTCAACAAAGCCCAATTGACGCCTGGTGGCTGAGTCAAGCATCTGATGGGCGATGAAAAAACTAGTTCCCTGTACTGCATATATTATCAATATGTTAAATAAATGTTAAAATGACAAATAATTTTAATATAAAAAATGCAAAACTATTAAAGAGCACAACTTTCTTGATATTTACTCCACTGGAAACGAATGTAAACACAGAACAGATTACTGAATTGGCAGACTAGCCCATCAGCTGATCAGCTGATGCTCACAAAAAAACGTGATGTTCATAAGGATTTCGTTAATCGAAGTTTTGTTCGTTAACCTAATTGAAGATCCTTATGGGAGGTAATTCGTTAACCGAAATTTCGTTAATCGAACCGTTCGTTAACCGAGGGACCACTGTATTTTCGTAGCAAGGGTAATGGTCTTACATTGCCTCTTCACTACACTAGCATCAGTAGCACTTGATGGGCACTTGGAAGCCATTTTGAATGGTTAGAGTACAGTTTTAGAGCAAAAGCACTAAAGCACACATGAATGATGTGAAGTCGTAACAGAGACTAGCTTGGCATCGCTTGGGGACACTGTGACGTTCCGTGAGTGACAGCAGCACGCCGAGCCAAGACAGCGTGGCATGGCCAGACAAGAGCAGGAGATGTGCCATAGAAAGTAGTCCGTGATGGCGCAAAACGACGTAGTATCGGATCACTGGGACGTTAAATGAATTTTTGGTCTAAAGTTCAGCGACGTACTACCAAAACAAAGTTATGCAGGACGACATTAAACGAGGACTTACTGTACTGAAAAAACTGAGGCATGGCAAATTACAGTGCATTAAATTCAATTATCATGCAAATAATATTTTCTCGTAATAGCAACAATACGAGTAGGTTACAGATTTTTATGTAACACAGATCGATTTATATTTAAAAAAGAAAAAGGTTCTTCTTACCGCTCAGCAACCATGGCATTTCAAATACAACGATATAATTGAGGAACCATGGGTAATAATTCTTGAACAGATTGATCATATACTGAATGAACTCCATGTCCATATTCTTCATCCCTGTCTCACACATGTCAAAGAACACTGTTATCCATTCTCCCTTTTCCTCTCTGCAAGGAAAAAAAGAAGAGTCATTAACACTTATTAAGTACAGGTGCATGTGGTCAAATGAAAAAGATACCTTCATCTCAAATCATTGAAAATTGCTATACAGTCGGCCCTTAACATACGCGGGGGTTAGGTAACAGAGATACCCGTGAATGTTAAAAATCCGTGTACTTTTGCTGCCCCCCCAAAAAAAAACCCTGGCCCCCCCATGTCCTTATTTACCGTATATACCTGTGTGTAGTTCAAGTTTTTAAGACCAAATTATTTGGCAAAAAATTGGGGGTCGACCTCTAAACGGGCAATAGTTTCGTTAGGTTGAAAAATATTTACCAGTAACTACCAGAAAACAATGGAAACGACGCACCAACACACCACCAGCTGTGAGTGTCGGTACAGTTGCCAGGGCAGATCTCTTGCGTCATCATAGCAAGCCCAAAGTAGCCAAATGCATGGTATGGTATGCACAGGACAGTGTAAAACATAAAGCATTCATTTTTTAAAGTTTATTTATAGATACTGTACATAAATTTTTGTTCATTACATTTGAAACATCAATCTTTGTTAATTAAATTTGAAACAAAAGAAAACTACGATACCGTATTTCTAAATACCGGGTATTTTCATTACAATATTACATCACAAGTATATTTTACCTTAACTATGACTGAATGAATATATTATCAGAAATAAATATGGAAATGTAATATCTTTGCTGAAATGACGTATGTATTACAGTCGAAAGTGGGATAAAATCATGACGAAAACAATGACTTTCGCTTTCTTTCGTTGTTCAAAAGATTTTACCGTGGAACAAAGCTGTACTGTACATGTACTAAATGATTACGGTACTTAAATTGTTGTCTATTGCAAATATAGACTGTTTATACAGGTATTCAAATAAATCACTATCTTACAAGAATCCCAGCAATGTAAGTTATATTCACCCAGGTCGTTTGGGTGGCAAATTATGAGAAGAGCTTAGTCACTCTTAAGTAATGATAAATAAACACGTAGGCCTTCAGCGCCAACTGTCACATCTTATCTCAAATAAATAAACAAACACCACTCTGTCACCTCACCTCCCCCCCCTCCCATGCTCGCTGGCTACAAAAGATTGGTGATAACTTTATTCTTTAAGGTGTTTATTTTATATAATATCTCAGACTAAAGTTAGATTATAATTTGCATTGTTGGAATCCTTGCAAGACAGCCAATAATTTGAATATAAACGTCATATATTTTGCTCAAGATATAAAAATGTAGTACATTAGTGTACAATACTGTGTAGTACATTTTATAATACAGTATAAAGTTTTCAACTGTATTTTTGGGTAGATTTACATAAATTTCTTCATTTATTTTCATCCATTTACATGCACACACCATACTAAAAGAAATAAATGACCTTAGTGCAAAGCTGGAGTGTACATGTACTAATTTCATTACGGTACTAAAATTTTTATGTCTAGTGCAAATTAGAGCATGTTGCTATTCAAATTAATCAGTGTCTTACAAGAATTCCAGCAATGTTAATTATATTCTCCCAGGTCATTTCACTGGCATTTTAAAATGAGAGAAGTGTAGTAGGACTGTTAAATAAACACACAGAGACCTTCGGCTCAAACTGTCAAACATATCACCTCAACCCACCCCACCCCTCGCTGGCTGGCTGGCTCCGTCCCTCCCTCCCTGCCTCCCCTATCTGCTCAGCCAGGGGTTTATTAAGGCTTAGTTTTTATTTTATATAATAACTCAGACTAAACTTAGGAGATTATAATTTGCATTGCTGGAATCCTTGCAAGACAGCCAATAATTTGAATATAAACGTCATATATTTTGCTCAAGAGATAAAAATTGTTGTACATTAGTATACAGTACTGGTTTTCAGTTAAAAAACTGTTGTGTTACAATAATATTCCATCCTAATTGACTTGAATAAATACTTGAATGGAAATATGCAATATTTTTGTTGAAACTACCCGCGTTTCAGTGTAAAGTGTCATAATAATAAATGGTAAACAATTTGCCTTCGGCACTCTGTGTTTCAGGCACGGCGAGCCTCAGTTTCTAGGACGTAGAGTGTTTTTACTGAAGGTTTTGTTGTTCCAATACCCTCAAAAACTTGGGTCGACCTATAAACAAGGAATATTATAAATTAACGATTTTTTGGTAAAAAAATCAGGGTCGACCTACAATGCTGATGTCAACACAAGCGTGGTTACAGCGAGACTGACTGAGTGAGGGAGCACGGGGTGGCGCGATGCGTGTGTGTGTGTGGGGTGGCGGGCGGTGTGCAATGTGTGGTGCTGCGCGCGATTTGAATGTACTTCAATTACTTCAATGTACAGAATATTCCTCCGGCGGGGCAATCCGCGTATTTGCGAATCCATGTATGCTAAACCCGTGTATGTGCAGGGCCGACTGTATTCAGAGGATCTATAAAGTTTACACTCTAAGTACATGAAAACCATTTTCTTCTGCAACTGTAAAATTTTCTAGTTATGATAAAGGGAGGCCACACAGATATGAACCCTTGATTCTTACCATTTTGCAGCTAAAGGGTTACTCAATCCCTTTTGGAGGTTATTGTGTAATGTGCAGCATATGAATGTCTGGTGTTGAATTTGTCTGGGTATGAGTGCTGCCTCTTGTGGTGTGAATCATGTGTGTAAATATGTACACTATGTAAGGTAATTGTGTCCTCAGTAAAACTGCAGTTCCACTAACTATTGCTTTTTTACCATAAATCTAGGTTTTTCACAAGGTGCTTTGTGTAATTCATTCGAATGTGACCTTAATTTCCATTGGAAATGTGTCGTTTCTGAGTTATCACTCCAACAATCTTGGGAGTGAAATTGCATTAACACTGTTTCCTCTCTTTATGTCACTGTGTAGAAGGCACCTGTGTTCATGAGAGGTAACCTCCAGTTGGAGAGACACACTTAACTCACTTGTTTTCTGTACCTCCACCTGTTGTTACACTTTGACCCTTGTAGAGAAAACGTAAACTCCAAGTTTACTTAAGCCATGCCATGAGACTGCTATCAAATGTGATGCAGTGAATAAGATCCAACTGCAATGATCCTAGAGTAAAGTTTGTGGAGTAGCAAGATGTCTCTAAGAAAGAGAATCAGATGGAACAGTGGACAGCACTCATGGTAAGGCACAGGAGCAAGAGGATTGCCTTTCTGGAGAGGATGATGGCACCACATCAGGGCTGAGTAATGCCAGTAACAATGCATCAAATGGCAGTGACAGAACCAAGGGCAGTGGGTGCAGTCACAGGACAAACTCCCTCACATACTGTAGGTATTACTGCTCAACACCTGCTATCCTCTGTCTCTTTTGACCCCCTCACTACTGGATGGCACTTTTAACATTTTGTTTGGCTAACGCCAAATTAATTTACTCAGCAGAGAGATCCCTCGTACTCAAGAGGTTATACAGTGAACCCTCGAAGATCCAGACTAAAATGGGGGACCACCTGTCCGGAAAAACCGATAGTCCGAATTTTCCGGGGAATAATAAATGATATAAGAAACGCCAAAATACAGTACTAATGTAGTGATAAACAAATTACCATACTGTATATAAACCATGAATTTACCTATGATAACATAATAAGAAACATGGCATCTTTACTAGAGTGAATGAAATAATATTCCCACAAACAACAATTGTGAACTCTGTTTATGTTTCCCACCTCCTCGGGCACCTGTGTCCAAGCAACTGACGGGTCAAGCAGCGCCCACGGGCCTAAAATGTTCTTTGCTCTGATATGGGTCCGGATCTTCGAGGTAAGTACAGGTAACTCGCGTTTTACGTGCATTTGATTTAAGCATTTTTGGAATAATGCGACTGTTCAATTAATACCATAACCTAATTTACACGAACCTATTTTTTAAATAACGCGCTCAAGACAGTTTAAATTTGCCACACGTATTTGCCTGGTCGCCTGGCAGTGGAGTCGCGTGTGATGCCTGGTGAGGTGCTTGTAAGTTATTACTATAAAGTCTCAGTCATATCAACATGAACGATTTTAATATTACAGTGGTCCCTCGGTTAATGAGCACAATCCGTTCTAGAAGGTTGCTCGTTAACTGAAAAACTCGTGAAACCATTGTTTCAATGGGTTTTTGGGTAATTGGTTCCAGCTCACCAAAAATTGCCTAAATTCAACAAAAAAGGTAGAAAAGTACACTTACTTTGAGGTGTGTATGTAGAAGGCTCCTGGATGATGATGGGAATTAGAATGGGAGTGGAGGAGAAGGGAAGGCATTGGGGTGGAAGAGAAGTCACCCCATGGCACCATTTCACCCATAAATTTTTTGTTCACTAGGTGTAATTCAAGATTATTTTCTTTAAATCAACACTGCACTGTGCTATATATTGTCAATATGTAAAATAAATTTCAGAAGGACCAATAATTGTACTGTAAAAATGTAAAAATATTTTATGTTCAAGAGAGCCACAAGAAAGATGTTACCTCTACTGACCAGAGATACAAACAGACGCCTTTGTGGGTGAGTCAAGTGGCTGATTGGTGCACCAAAAACTAGTTTCCTGTACTGCAATTATATTAAATAAGTGTTAAAATGACTAAAAATTTTAATATAAAACTTGGAAAATTATTGAATAACACAACCTTCTTGATATTTACTCAAATGGGAACGCATTTAAGCCCTAGAACCGGTTACTGTATTGGTAAGGTAATTCATTAACCGAAATTTCGTTAACCGAGGCGTTCGTTAGCCGAGGGATCACTGTATTTTGTCACAACAGCAAAAAAAGCTCATGTAAAAGTGTTTACTGCAGTAGGTAAAGTGGTCATGATGGTAAGGTGGTGAACAATTTAAAATGGTTATTGTGGTACAACAGACAGTGTGGTAAGAGGATGACTGTAGTAAGGTGTTCTCAGTTGTTAGATGTTTCCTACAGTGTGGTGGTAATTGTCTCTAAAGTTAAACAGGTCTTTTATATGTAATTTCAAGTGTGTATGAAGAGAGAAGCCTGTAATAACTTAATAAATAATTGAATGATGGATTACCTTTCTAGCCTCTCAAGCCAGTATATGAAAAATTTGTTGAGTAGATCCATGTCGAGAACCCCCTTCTGATGCAAACGCACGACAAATATTAGCATCTTGCAACCATCTCTGTCACGATTGTGTATATACATGGCTCCTTTCACAAAGAAATCATCTGGGACACTCTCCTTTGTAATTGCTGAAACAAGAAAAAAGACTATATAAGAATAATATACAGTGGAGTACTACATAGTATATCTAACTATCTCTCCCTCTACTGCCAACAATAAGATGTGAAACAAGTATACCTGTACCAAGCCTCACACTGGATAAAAAACTATCAAGTCCATGTTGCTTTCATAAAGGATAATTTCACTTTGTTCATTTAAAATGACTTAACAGCAATAGTTCTTCTTTATCCACTTGGAAGGACATTATAAATATATACTGCAGTTATTTTTTATATAATGATAATGATAATAATAATAATAATAATAATAATAATAATAATAATAATAATAATAATAATAATAATAATAATAATAATAATAATAATAATAATACAGTAAAAGTCCGAAAATCCGGACTGCTTGGGGATTGGGTCGGTTCCGATTTTCGGATTTTCCGGATTCTCGGGCAGTACTTTTAAAATTCAAATTTAAGGAGGAATAAAGAAGAGATGAACAGGTAAATTTTGATAGTCTATTCATTAGCAAATACTCAGACGAGGCTGTGAATTCTGGAATTTTATTCTTTGCCTTTTTATATCGTAAATTGTAGACTTTCCGATGTCGTATGTTTCCATTAGATCAGTATTGCTCATGCCACGTTCTAGTTTCTTAATTATTTCAAGTTTGTCACTCAATTTCAACGTGTTCTAACTTCATCCCTCTCGAAGATTTTCGAAACTATCTTGAACTCCCATTTTCTCCGTCACCTTGAACGCCTTTCTCTTTTGTCGGATCACCAGTATGGCTTTCACCAGGCGAGATCTACTGGTGATCTGCTCTCCTATTGCACCCATCTTTGGTCATCCTCTCTTCGGGATTATGGGGAAACTTTTGTCGTGGCTCTCGACATTTCCAAAGCATTTGACAGGGTATGGCACAAGTCTTTGCTATCTAAACTTCCCTCTTTTGGTTTCTCTCCCCCACTTTGTTTTCTCATCTCTAGCTTACTTGAGAACGGATCCATGGCAGTTGCTGTCGAGGGATCGATTTCTGGCTCTTTCTCTACCAGTAGTGGCGTCCCACAGGGTTCTGTTCTTTCACCAACTCTCTTCCTTATTTTTATCAATGATTTACTTCACACTACAACCAATTCTATCCATTCTTATGCTGATGATTCTACTCTTCACTCTTCCTCCAAACTCTCAAACTAGATCTGTTTCTAGAACTGATATCATTACTTCTATCAACGTGGATCTGTGCAGCATCTCTGAATGGGGAGGTACAAACTTGGTTAAGTTCAACAGTAATAAAACTCAATATTTACCAATTACACTTTGTAAATTAGACAATCTCCCACCAATTACATTTCAGGACGCTATCATCCTCCCAAATTCTGAAATAAATATGTTAGGCCTCACCATTTCCTCCAATATATCCTGGAAATCACACATCCTTAGGATAACTAAAGCTGCCTCCCGAAAGTTGGGAATGCTGTACAGATGCCACAGCTACTTCACTCCTGAGCAGTTGCTCCAAGTATATAAGGGATTCATTCGTCCTAACTTGGAGTACTGCTCTCATATCTGGGGTGGCTCTTCTTCTTCTCCAACTATTAGATAGGGTGGAATCTAAGGCATTTCGTCTTATTAACTCTCCTCCTTTAGTCGACCATCTCTCTTCCCTTTCTCTTCGCTGCAATGTTGCTTCACTCTCTCTCTTTTACAGGTACTCTAACGGGCAATGTTCGGTGGACTTGGCACCCTGTGTACCGCCGGCAAGGCCGTGGGTTCGCAACACATGTCTTGCCCGCAGTGCCCACCGTTTCTCTGTGGATGTCGGTCACACGAGAATAACCCGTTTTAGTACCTCCTTCTTTCCTCACACAGCCAAACTGTGGAATGCTCTGCCTTCTTCTGTGTTTCCATGCTCTTACAATCTGACTCACTTTAAAAAGCTGGTTTTCCGGCATCTTCGTGGTGTAGATTAATACAGCATAACCTTTTTTTCTATATTTACAATTTCTTTCCGTTCTTTTTTTTTTCTTCGCCCCCCAGGCTCCGTTGTGGGTCGTTTGACCTGTGCCTGGGTGGGCTAATTCCTGTAAAAAAAAAAAAAAGTATGCTATACAGTGGGTATGCTATAACGAACGGATCCTACTACGAATATTCCTATAATCTAACGGTTTTACCTATAAAATTGAGAATGCTATAACGAACGAAACTCCTACAACGAACATTATTTTAATTTTTTTTTTTTTTCTAATTTATTGTTTTTTTATTACAAATTTTAATGATATTCTTTATTTCAGGGGTTTAGATGCATATTTATGCACTTTTTTACAATTTTTACAATTTTATATTATATTTTTCAGTGTTAAGTGGTTGTATTTGGGGGCCTGGAACGGATTAATCCTATAACGAACGAATGCTATAACGAACAAGGTTCTAGAACCAATTAGATTCGTTATAGCATACCCCACTGTATATGGCAAATGGAAAGAGTAGGACAAAATATTACATACGTTGTCACAGTTTGATTGCTTGTTTTAAAATAGCGACCGCGTGGTCGCTTGTTGTCGCTGTGCAGCTGTGGCGCTCACGCATGCGCACACACACACAAAAGCCCGCTAAATTTAAAAAGTTTGAGTTTTCAAAAAGTCCGGATTCTCAGGTGGTCCGGATTTCTGGCATCCGGATTTTTGGACTTCTACTGTAATTCATTTTACATAAAAGTATATAATAAATATGTAGAGTATGTAATATTAAATTTTCCCTTTTCTTTTCATTTGATGAACTGAATATTCATGGACCACAGGATTTTTTTTTTTTTTTTTTTGTGCAAGGGACCATTTCATAAGACTCAAGGGACCATCTCAAAAGACTTTTGTGCATCCAGTGGATCATGTGTTGAGAAAGCCTATGTAGCTGTGATTGCATGACAAACAGTTTGAAAGTTTGGGTATATGGCAGAAGGCATTCTGTGTAATCCTAAAGACCTAACTCCAGAAAAAATGTGTAACCAGTGAGTCCAAATGGCACAAGAAGTGATACAACCAGGTTTCAGCCAGGTTTTTTCAAAGGGAACAGGTTAAAGTCCTTCAACAAGCAACATCTCAAGATTCACCCGAGCCATTACTGTCACAAGCTATCGTGTCGACTGTCACTCCAGGAAGGCTGACCAGTCCGTCTACCATTGACACTTGTATTACTTGTGGGAACTCAGACAACAACCTCTACCATGTATCAACATCATCCCAGGATGCCAACATTAAGCTGGGAATTTAGATCCTCTAGAACTTAGATATCATGGCCAAACTGTCACTTGGAGGCAATCTTATGGCAGCTGATGTTTTGTATCATTTTCAGTGTTTGACAACTTTAACAACTGATTACATAGCAAACAGTGAGAGGTGGTCTGCAAACCCAAAGATCAAGGTAAAGCGGCCAGATTTCAGACTCTTGAGGAGCTCTATAGTGATAACTGGGAAGTTGGTGAAGGAAAAATGTCTTTTATGCTCTGAGAACTGATGGAACGACTGTCTGAACACACTAATAAAACAGGGCTGTGAGGCAGATTATGTTTATCACACTGTAGCCGTTTCCAGTCACCTGAGCTTGACTGATGACAGGTAACTTAGCTACATATAAAAATGTTTATGGGTTAAGTTTGCAAAACCCAAATGGTCTTTTCTCCATTTACTTAGAAGAATAGTCTCTGCACAGTTAACAAGGATATCACCGGAAGCTGTGTGTTAGGAAATTGACAGTAAGCTTATCTGGGATAGCTTGTGAGTCAACGTCTATGCTTTGTGAGGGTCGAGTGATGACTGGGGGACAGAAAACCGGCTCGAGGGAGCTGACCTGGCATCCCTAGAGAGCTGCTCTCCAGTGGAAACTACTGATCACATGTTCAATAGATGATCACTCACTGCTTATGGAAAATCGAGGGGGAGGGGTGGGTGGAATTATATAAAACTGATGCATTAACCCATATTTATATAAGTACTACTGTCTATTAGACAGGGGCTAGTACAACACTCATTTTCCTGGCTTGAAAGAGGAGACTCATGGGAAGAATGTGATCTTCCTATTCCCTGACACCATGAAAATCATCATAAAATCAACCAATATGAGCATTGCAGAAAGCGATTCTTGGATCCTTGTAAAAGCAACGCGCATTCTTCGCTGAGAGATTGGGCAGGGTCCATTATGGTCTTTCAGTGGTGAGTTTGAGGATGGCTTCCCTTGGCACTAAAATTCTTCTTTTGGATGATTCTTGAAGGACGTTCATTGAAAGCTGAATCCAGCCAGCCAGCATTGACAGCTGATGGGCTTTCAACATGGTTTCGAAATGGGCTACGTCTAATACAGACAAACCTCGTACTCTCCCGGTGATTTCCTTCCTTGGCTTATACTGTCACTCACAATTCACAAACAGGGTATTTGTAAGTTTCCACAAAAGACTTGGCCTCATTCTTGTCCAAACAATTCACAAAGAAAGGTTGGTTTGACTTATGAATATACAGAAAGGTGTCTTTACGATGGAGAGATAGATAATATCAATCATAACCCAACGGCGACTACATTGAAAGAAGCTTTCCACTGGACAGCCATAAGCCTGTTTCAGGCCAGATCAATACATGAACCAGGAACTCCTCGTGAGAAAGGATCATGTAAGGAGGTTGAGACGGAAGGTCTGCCAAAGTCACATAAATTAGCACCTCAGCCGGATGTACAGTAGATACAGGTACACCATCGATTTTCCGGGAGCTGATGGTCCCGCACCTCCTTTAGTCCAGACAAAATTATGAGGACGGCACTTAACTTCCTTCCCTTCCTCCCATCCAGGGTGAAGGTAGTTTTAGGCTTAAAGTTTTTAACTTATAAAATGTGGTAGACTAGACTTAGCAGAATATAAATTGCATTGCTGGAATCCTTGTAAGATAGTGATTAATCTGAAAAAAACATCACATAATTTGCACAAGAGATAAAAATTTTTGTCTAGTATAACACACTAAGTCCTCGCTTAA